AAAAATCAGTTTACTTTTTTGTTTTTTCAGTGGCCCTAATCCTCTTCCGTACATCCTAATTAAGAGGATCCACTTCTTTTTATTATGACTGTACGTGCATGTTCTCACCATGACCACATGTGCACCCTGGACAGGTTCCACCACTCAGGCCTCTTCTTTCCTGAAGTCACCCTCTGCTCTCATTTGCTGCAGTCACCTACTCGGTCTTACTTACCGTCTGCTCCCACATGTTGTATTGTTCTGTGTTGTGTTTGTTGCAAAGTTGAATGAGCGAGTTAAGCTCTAGAGGAGAAGGGCATTAAAAAGACATTAATTAGGTGGCGCGATGTATTCCCAGCCGTTGCAAAATCAAGAGTTATAGCACCGCAATGAAGGCTTGATAAAATCATTATAAGTTTGACAGATAATGGAAATCGAAGGGTGGTGCAGTCAAGGTTTTTCCAGAAGCTGCTGTCTGTGTGCACCTGTCATCATGGGTTTGCTTCTTCACACAGACATACAGTATCAATATGTCTCCATCTGCCTAGGCTTGGCTGAGTCAGATCAAGGCGTGCTTGTTTGCACACTTAAGTGTGACTCTGCTTGATGCCTCTCCAGCTTCCCCGCTCCTCGCCCCAAGTGTCCTCGGAGAAAGCCGCTCGCTCCTGCGGGACTCGTCTCATTAGCTCAGTAATTAAGATAAACGAGAGTTTAATTGCAGCTGTGATCAACACTAATGATTGTGGGACTCAAGATGAGGATTTTCTCTCCCTCCTCTAATCAGGGGGTGGATCAGGGACTGGATGTGTACAAGCGATAGAATCACAGTGGCACTCTGCCTTCAATGTTGCAGTTATTGTTTGCTGTAGTAGGGATGATCAGGAGTGAATCCTTCCTCCTTGGGGTTTAATTTAGCCCCTTTTAAAACATCTTATCTTGTGGTCACTTATTATATCAAACTATCTTACTCATGGTTGTTGCATTAAGCTTTCTATACAGTATAAAAAAACAGCATACCTGCAGATGAAAATATGTACTTATTGTATATGTGCATTAATGGTTTTTGAAGATTTAACACTCATTATAATTAGCTGCAGAGAGAACCTCATTAAACAATGGGTCTTCTTATTTATCTTATTTACAATGTTGTAAAGGTGTAATGTCTGTTTTTAAGAAATGACTTTGTAGGATAATTGGCGTAACATTAATTATTAAATATTTTTGTTTTCCAAACTTGTACACAGCTTCATTTCATGTTTTAGCTAACCAAATCTGGGCTGCAGCGTTGATGTGCATGTTCTACTTTTAGTGATATTTGTTTAGTCTAATTTCAAAATAGGCTTAAAGGAAAAGTC